TAATTGATCACATTATACGTAACGCTTCCAACACCTTTCCTGCGCGCGCAGAGACATATTATGTATATTTGTATAGAGAGATAAGAAGCATGTGGAGGCCACATGCACCTTCGTTTAAACTCGTAAAATTCGTGAATGACTCTTCTCTTCCTGCAGGAAACATCCTGACCTGTAGATATCACCCCTTCCAGGTACCGGGGAAATATAACCACTCACCTTATCCTGATATCACAACTATAGAAATTGCCACAATGCTTCACACGACCTGATGCTACACCTCGCCACCTCGTTCCTATGCCCACGCACGCCACGCACGCACGGCACACACGCAGTCCACGCAATAGCCACAATATATGTGGTCAGATGACTGTGTCAAGATAAAAAAAAGATTTATGTCAGGGCAGTCGGCCCTGTCGGGTTGACATCACATAGCTGTAGCTTTAGTTTTGGATGTATAGCCTCCACTTGCCCATGAGATTAAAATAAAAATGGTAAACTATATTACGATTTCCTATTTTTCTATTTCAGGAATCAGGATTTTACGTTCACGTGTGTGCATGTGCGTGCTTTGGCCTTTCTTTACAACCGCGGCAAGTAAAAATACTACGATTACCTATATTATTGTTATTACCACGTGAAGTTGTGTTATTAGTAAAAATATAGATAAACAATCTCTAAAATATTTTCTACATAATCATTAACGCCTATGTACGGTGGTTAGCAAATGTGGTAGGATTCACTGATCCCTATAATGTAACGAAAAACAAATTCATAATCACAATTCAAATAAGAAAGCATTACTTTACAGGCCCCCCGGTCACTAAATACCGCGGAGAATACATAATCATTAACGAGATCGCCGAATAACATCGGAAAAATGGCGAGAAATCTCTCAAATATTATACTGCAGGAACAGCAAGTCTCCTCACGGCCTACACAACAGTTTCCATGGTTACCAACAGTTGCGCATGAGCTACACATTGAATCGCAACGAGAATCTAGGGGCGTGTAAAGGATTTATACCAGGGGGGGGGTGGGTCTAACCGTACACCAAACTTGCGAGCCTGCGATAGGGGGACGTGAAGTCTGAGGAAATTTTTTTTGAGAAAGTTAGACCCCCTTAGATGCCGTTTTCTGGTGCGCAGCAGGGGGGGGAGGCCCTCGTTGTCCTCGTTCCGGACCCCCTGACCCCCCCCCCTGTACACGCCCACTGAGAATTTCGTCGTCACGCGATGTTTACTGTCTATTTCATACTGACAAGCTTGTACCTTCCACAGCTCTCTACGTCGACGAAAACACGGTCC